CCAATAAAGCGAGATGAGCACCGCAACCCCAGAGTCGGTCATGACTGGACCTAATGGTCATGGGTTCTTTTACCTTTACCTATGTATGCCATTCCCCTTCATGGATCACTGCCTTGCCGTGGCGAAGGGGCTTGAAGAACTCAGAGAAGCTATGAACTACGCCGAGCAGGGCACACAAGATGAACAGGTCATAGTGGAGAGTTTGGACCAAACGTGATCCACCTGGAGGAGGAACCGGCAAGCCACTCCAGTATCCTTGCCAAGAAAACTCCATGGACAAAGACAACAGGCATATAAAAGTTATGACGCTGGAAGATGAGCCCCTCAGGTCGGAAGGCGTCCAACATGCTACTGGGGAAGAGCGGAGGGCAAGTACAAGTAGATCCAGAGCTGATGAAGCGGCTGGGCCAAAGCCGAAAGGACGCTCAGTTGCGGATATGCCTGGAAGCGAAAGGAAAGTCCAATGCTGTAAAGAAAAATATTGCATAGGAACCTGGAAGACACTGATGCTGGGAAAGATGGAGGGCACAAGGAGAAGGGGGCGACAGAGGACGAGATGGTTGGATAGTGTTTTCGAGGTTACCAGCATGAGTCTGACCAAACTGCGGGAAGTAGTGGAGGACAGAGGTGCCTGGCGTGCTCTGGTCCATGGGGTCACGAAGAGTCGGACACGACTAAACGACTAAACAACAACAAATGTATGCCATTACTGCAGCCCGTGTTTCTCTAGCCCCAAAATTAGAAAACGAGCGAGGTCCCAACTAAAGAAGAATGGCAACTTGAGTTGACAGAATATGCACAACTCACAGACCTAACATCTAGAATAAGAGAACAAGAAGTACATACATTTAAAGAAGATTGGAAAACGTTTATTGGATATATAGGAAATAATTGTGTACAGCTGAAAACGCTGGTAGCATTAAGATAAATTCAACTGCGTAAACAAGTTTTGATGGATGCAGTAATGAAATACTGAACGGTATAGTTTCTGTAAAATATGCAGGGATTTATGATATGTAAAATGAACCATGGAAAGAGAAGAAGGGAAGTCATTGATATCTTAAGGATGTAAAAGGAGTATTTTAAATTGTAAAACAGAAAATTTAATAAAAATTACATATATATATATATATGAAGTTGATAGATTGGCACCTGGTTCTGGGTGTAAACTAAGGGAGTCCATTGCTCAATCAGTTGGAAGCAGTAATGCTTCTGAATATCAGTTACTGGTAACCACAGAAAAGGAAAGGGCTTCTGTACTCAAGTCCTGCTCAAGGACTTCCCACAGGCATCTGGTCAGCCACTGTGAGAACAGGATACTTGACTAGATGGGCCATTGGTCTGATCCAGCAGGCTCTTGTGTTCTTACTCAACAAGAGTTTCTCCCCAAATAATTTAAAACGAACTGTTGTGGAAGTGGTTATTGTTGGCACAGGGACCAGAGACCAGGAAGGGGGACCTGTGGCACATGTGATGCTGCTGAACTCCAGCTCTCATCAGGACCAGCCAGTGGAGACAACCGTCAGGGATGATGGGAGATATATTCCAGCAACATCGAGAAAGGCAGAGGTTCCCTATCCATGGGGTTGAGCAAGGGTGGAGGACCTGTGGACCTCCAGATGTTGCTGGACTACAATTCCTATCATCCCTGACCACATGGGCTGGAGCTGATGGGAGTTGGAGTCCAACAACTCCCCAGGTTTGGGCCATCGGCTGCCATTAGGACAGTGCCGCTCCTGTACCTTTAGGAGTGGAATAGAACATCTCAAATGTCTGGCATCACTTCCAAAAATGTCTTCATCCATGCAACGATCACAAGTGGGAAGAAGGCTGCTGCATTTACGACGGCAAAATCTAGCACGGGGACCTTTCGACTTGATTGTGAAGATTTGCTTCCTTCACGGAAGGCAGGAAAGAACCCTTTTGATGGGCCGCGCTGTCAGACCTCATGAAAACAGCTCGCTTCTTTGGCTTGCTCACACTGGCGTGTCACAAAATTATGTTTCACATAATGTAACGCTCACATGCCTGTTTTATGTCAGCAGATGTTAGGAGGAGGATAATCTCTGTAGCGTTTCTCCATACACACACACACCCCTTAAGACATCAGGCTTGGATGTGCTTTGTTACAAGCTACATATTCTATTCTCCTCCCTCACCCTTCCATTATTTGCAGGTGATCAGATCATTTTGCCCTCTCCCCCCCCCCATTTTAATTTTCCCCCTCCTCTCCTGCAATTATCTTTCCCTTTCATCACCACTGGAGCTGGAAGTACAAAGTACCAATTAGCTGGTTTTCAACTTTAATTAGCTTGGAAGGTAGAGCAAATTAAATCCTTTTATCATATGTTTCAAAGCCCTTTCCCATCAAGCTCCCCCCCCACACACACCAATGCAGCCTCCCCACCCACCCCAGTTCCAAACCCCCCCCCCTCGAATTCCCTGCCTTTGAATGTGAAGGTCATTTTCACACTCTGAGGTCAACCCCAGTCTCTGTATCCCCCGCCCACCTAACTTGGATTGGGGCCTTCCAGCTCCATGGGGGGGGGGGAGAGGGCGCTGACTGAGACGTCTGTTCCCTTTTCACTGAGTCTTCTCTGGCTGATTTTACAGGGTGAGTTCTCTCAAATGATCTGCAAGGAAGAGAGATGTTCAGCACTGTGTAAAATCTTTTTGGACAGGACAGGATAAGAGGGATTCTGAATGCCACTATGCAAAGGCTGAGGTTATCTTTGTATCTGACATTGCAAAGAAGCACTGCTTAGTCCCTTATAACATAGCCCTGCCACTGAGATTTGGGGGGAGTCACTACTGGTGCCCCTACTTGGCTCAGACGCAAAGCTCCTAGCGACTAGAAGCTGCGCATTCCATGTTGTGGGTCCAAGCCTCCGGGCTAAGATTGTACAGGCATCCTGTTTGCTGAACAACAACTTTCTTGCTCCAGCAGGCATTTTTAGATAATAACTGGACTCAGTTTAATTGAGGGCTGTTGTTTGTTTGTTTGTTTGTTTGTTTGTTTGTTTGACTTGGTGTGCTTTTTATTTATGTACTCCGTTTAAGATATGCTAATGATTAAGCAGCATTTAAATGCCAAAAATAAGCAAATAGCAATTGGAAATACAAATGTGACTTTGGTTTAGGTAGAAAGGCTCCTGGAATTTGAGCTGCTCCAGAATTTCAGCAGCACCCCAAAAATTATTTGGAGGGTGCTGGATTTTGCCCCTTTGTTTTCATATTTATTTATTTATGGGGTTCCCTATAAGAAGATTTTTTTTATCATAGAGTAGGAAGGAGTAAGCCAGAAATCATCTAGCCAAACCCACCAATGAATGCAAAATGGCTCTGCATTACACAATGTGATGGTGGCACCCATGACAGGTGTCGGCTCAACTACCTCCAGGGCAGATCTGCCCCACTTCCAAACAGCTCTTGCCATTAGGAAGGTTTTCCTAACGCTCAGTTGAAATTTGCTTCCACACTGCTTCTTTTCTGCTTTTCCAGTCCAGACTAGAACCAATATGCTACTTCTCTTGCCATGCAACTAGCAAAGATGCGCACGGGAATATAAAACGGCTAAAACAAGCCATCCGATAAACAATACAGTACAATGAAATGAAATGAAATGAAATGAGAAATGGAAATTTTAAAACGAAAGGAAGACAGAGGCAGCGGAAAATAACCCAACAATTGTCACCTGGCTATAACAGAGAGAGAGAAGGGAAACAAGGCCTCTCCATGGTCTCAGCTGAGAAACCAACAACATTTCTCTGCTCCTTTCCTTGAAATCTTAAACTCTGTTACTTAAGATGAGTGATTGAGTTTGCCATTTTTCTCCTTCCTCTTCCTCTCTTTTCGTTTTGTTGTTTTCGTTTTCATGTCTTCACTATAAGCTTGAGGACAGCGAATGTCACTCACTGCAATCTCTCTCTGTGTGTGTGTGGTTATCAACACACACCATGGATTATTTACAGCCAAGGCTTGCTCTGTTCCAGGTGTGGGGAAGCTTTGTCCCTCCAAATGTTGCTGAACTACAACTCCCATCATCCCTAGTTACTGACTGTGCTTGCTAGGGCTGATGGGAGTTGTAGTTCAGCAACATCAGGAGGGCCATAGATTCCTCACACCTGCTGTAAGCATAAAGCAAAATGAAGTTGAGTCCAACATGTTAGACAGTCGTGTGTGTGTGTGTGTGTGTGTGAGAGAGAGAGAGAGAGAGAGAGAGAGAGAGAGAGAGAGAGAGAATTTGGAATGTCCCCTGTACAAGCAAAGCTTAGAATGTAGAAAAGTAGGAAAGCACAGGAAAGGTTGGGCTAGAACATTTTTCCTTGCTAGCTCTATTTATTGCATTTATTTATGCATTTCACTTATTTATTGCATTTATGTCCCACTCCACCAATTTTTGAAAGGAGCTCAAAGTGGTTTATATGGTTCTCTCCTTCCTCCTTTAATCCCCACAATCACCTGAGGTTGGTTAGGTTGAGAGCCAGTGACTAACCCAAGACTACCCAATGAGTTTCATGGCTGAAGACTTGAACTCTGGTCTCCCAAAGCCTTGGATCACAGAGTTTTCTAATTCCATTCTTCTCTATCCCTTTCTTTCTTCTTTTCCTTTCCTCTTTCCTCCCTATCCTTTCCCTCACCCTCCCTCCCTCCCTTCCTTCCTTCCTTCCTTCCTTCCTTCCTTCCTTCCTTCCTTCCTTCCTCCCTCCCTCCCTCCCTCCCTCCCTCCCTCCCTCATAAAATATAACCCACCTCCACTTCCAGTATGAAAATGTGCCATTTCCAATGTACCACCTCATTCTGTTGTCTGTGTGGAGCTGGCCTGAATGCGTGAACAGGATCTGCTGAAATAAAAGTGGGGAGGGGAGATGGCACTAAAGTTCTAGCTGCCTTTGGCTCATTGACACATGAAAGACTACACCTGAGGGTGCCATTGTCAGCTGCTGAACATCCACGTGCAAACTGGCCTAAGAATGGGAGTCTAACCCGGAACCAGCGGGTCCTGGGTTTTTGGCCCTGTGTCCCTCCCAACATCATCGCATCGCCTTCTAACAGAAGGCACTGCCCACTCTTCCTCACCATCAAGGCATTTCCCCAACAGACCAGCAACGGCTGCAGCTCAGAAGGAACCTGTCGCTGCATGATGGAGGCCCGGCAGGATCCATTTATCACCCGGCAGGCAGCTTTATTTTTTAAAAAAGACGTGAGAGTATATCAGGGCCAGGAGAATAAAACAACTCAACAAAGACAAGCAAACACGGGAAAGATGACAGCCTGGCGAGATGAAGATATACAACTGGTGGGATCACAGGAAGGTAGAGGCGGTATTTGGGGGGGGGTGCGCATCTGCTTGCTGGGGAACCAGCTAAAGAAGCACCTTTCCTGAGCAGGTATAAACTGACTCAATATGGGTCAGTTTCTAGGTTGCGTATTGGGCTGAGACTTGCAGCCAATACTGATTTTCTGCTGCAAAGAGGTAGGGAGAGGGGTGCAATTTGCACAGGGTGAAACAATGGGTTGGCACTTCTGCCTCCATCCATTCCAAGCCACTTTGCACTCTTATTTATTTATCATTTATTTATTTAGAACATGTGTTGTTGTTGTTTACCCACCCTCCACTTTAAGGTCCCGGCGCAGGCTACAACAATTAAAATACAATATTTAAAACAGTTCAAAACAACTTACGATCACAGAAATAAGGTGGGTCCTAAAAATATTCATCATATACGTGTGTGTGTGTGTGTGTTACATACCACGCCAATCTCTAAGCAGGGAGAGACTCCAGAGGTTCCTGAACTTACCTAGGTTTAAATTCCTTGGGATGAAGCTCAGATGGTATCTTTCTGATATATGGCTTTATTTACACATATATACAACCTGATCATAGGAAGCAAGGGCTCAGAGTATTAACACTCCCGTAGATATTGCTCCCCCTTTATTTTATTTATTTGTTCACATGTTTCACAGCATTTATATACCATTTAATTGAAGTCAACTTTGCTATGAGAATTAAAATGCAAACAGACAAGAGTCATAGGAGCAGACAAAGCTGCCTTATATTAAGCCACACCACCCAGCTTAGTACTGCCTGCACTGACTGGCAGCAGCTCTTCAGGGTTTCAGGCAGGGGATGTTCCCAGAGCTACCTGGAGATACCAGGGATTGGATGGGAGGAATCTTCTGCTTGCAGAACTGATACTCTGCCAGTGAGCTGCAACCCTTCCCTTTGTTGCCCGTCAAGGGAGTAAATGGTGTGATAAGAGCCTACCATGCAGAGTTGATGTAAGGGTAATACTCCACATTTGGGGTTTTTTTGCAGGCTTGGAGCAGTTCTGCAAATGAGAAATGATAGAATGCTGCTTATATGATCTTAGTGCCTAAGACTACATTTTCCTATTCATTACAGATAAGCCATTGCCCCGAGGGATACCAGGAGGCATTTTTGGAATCCTGGGCGTCGTTGCTGCTGCTGCCCTCATTATCAGCGTGGCTGTGACTGTCTTCATTGTCTACAGGCGACAGCAAAAGGGCCGCTCTGACACCGACAATGATCTGTGAGTACCACACGCCCACCACAACCCCATATCTGTTCTCCCAAAGAGGAGGGGAAGGATCAACTTTGAGATTGCATGGGCCAATAAAAGGATATGGCACCAATTGTGGAAGGTGCTATTGAGTGGGCATTCCCTGGATTGAGGAACCATGTTAAGCACCTCTAATAGTAGGAAAGAGCTGTCCGTGGTGCTGATCTTCCATGACACAGCTCAAGAGCAACCTGAGGCCTCCATCAGTGGGATGCATTGAGATCAGATACATCCAATGGAAATCTAGTGTAGAGGATTCACTTTTGCACTTTCTGGACCGCCCTTTCTGCCCATTTAATTTCAACTCTAAGAGGCAAATAGCTTTAGCAAGTCCCTGTCCTGGGCTTGCAAGCCTTCATCTCATTGCTTCCCCTTTTAATGGGACCATTTTCTTAGTACTGGTAAAGAAAATATTCTTTCTTCAGAGGGCATTTGAACATACCTCCCTCTTTCCTCTGCCTTGCCTGCTGCTTCTCAAAGCATCCCTGGAAATGAATAGGGTTTCTAGGGAAAATGTTATTGTGCCGGGACAATGCATGGCCTGTCCATTTTCGTAAACGCATCTCACTCCCCACTTGAGCCCATTCCTGTATGCCAGTTATGCAACAGTGGCACATTAGCCTTGACTTACTCTGTACACACAGCCAGTTTCATTGTGGAGACTCTGGGATTGCTTAATAATACTCTAAGTGGGGGAAACCTACATCAGCCACCACTGTGCTCACTCCTTGAGAGAAGCTCTTTGCTCCTCTCCTCTGTTCAGAACTGAAGTGGGAGTGATCCAGTCCTGGCATCCAGTGAAATATGGGCATGTCTAAGGGTGTGTATTCAATTTGGGAGAGGCTGATCCAGTGCAAACAAAGAACTCAGCAGGAGGGGAGAAGATGGTGGATCTCTGCAGGGATATTTACAGAAACCTTTCACGAGCATCATAGGAGGTATCAGTGAGCACACTGGCACACAAAAGCACCACATTAGTGACCCTGCTGTAAGATGAAGGCTGGACCCTCACATTGTGTTCCTTTGCCCTGCATTGTGTCTATGGCTGACCATTTCTCTTCCTGCAGGATTGACCTTCCCCCCTCCCACAAACCTGCTCCCCCACCTCCCAAGCGGAAGCAGGAGATGAAAAGCCACCTAACAGCAGAGGATATTCAGGTACCTTCCCCTGTTGCTGACCATCCTCACCTGAAGGAGAACGAAGCATGGTTTCTCCAGCCACTTGTCAGAGTTGCTCTGCCCATCCTATCTGGGGAAGCCTTTTGGCGGGGAGTCAATTTGGTAGGATGGGTGTGATGAAGTAGGATGTGGTGAAGTAGGATGTGGTGAGGTAGTCATTTCCATAGTTCCTTCAAGGGATACTGTAATTCAGTTTGCATATTTGGCAAGGAAAAGAAAAGGGGAGGAATGAAATAGAATTAAGGGGGAAAGGGAGTTGGGGAGAGAGGGACAGAAGATAATTCTAATAGGCAAATAATATGGATGGTCTACTGATAATATTTGTGAAGTCAATTTGGTAGGATGTTAATCTGCCCTCTTAAACTTTACTCGCCCCACCAACCACAGGTCGTGCACTTGGACAACATGAAGGAGCCAGAGGAAGAGATCCAGAAGTTGCCACCCCAACCCCCCTACTATGACATGGCAGCCACCGAGCCAACCCCTCACTCCGACAAGATGGTAAGGATGGGGGCCACTGCCTGCCCACAATCTGGACCTTTCCATGGATCAGGGATGGGGATCCTCCATTCCTCCAGGCACAGCTGGACAACAACACCCATTCTCCTTGACCATTGGTCATACTGGTTGGGACCGATGGGAGTTGGAGTCCGACAACTTCTGGTGTGCCACAGATGGCTCCATTCCTGCTTCAAAAGGAGGCCTTCCTTGCTCTCAGGAGAGAATGTCTCATCTAAATAATTTTTTTGTAGGCAGTGTGGAATGCTGCTTCATATATCAGAGATGGGAAACCAGATGCTGGACTCCCAACTCCCATAGACCCTGACCATTGACCATGTTGGCTGGGGCTGATGGGAGTTGGAGTCCAAAAGCAATTGGAGGGTAACTGGTGTCCCATCCCTGACATACAACCTGAGCACCCTGGTAGTCAGCTGGTGGTCCAGTCTGACTCCCTCAGCTATTAGGTCTCTCCCACCCACTCATCCCCAAAAGGTAACTTCCCATCAAGAACCCCTTGCTGCATCATGATTCCTTTTATGGGTGAGAAGCAAAAAAACAACAACCACAGGTGTTTCTTTGTATAATCTTAAGCCTGTCACTCATAGCAAGCAATGGCTGTTGTGGTACATCCTGCGAGCACTTCTCCAACTTTGTGAGATGGGAATTGTGAATCATTTCAGGTGGATTGCCAGGGTATCAGCTTGGGAGAAAATGGTGATGGTGCAATATGAAAGAGAAGTAGCCCCTTTGGGATGCTGGGCTATGCCATGGGACCAGATGAGAAAGGGGGAGAGGGCAGGTCCAGAGTCAACGGCTGCTGCTCTTTGCTGTTGTCTCTGGTTGCATCCCTCTTGCAAGACTCAGACCGTTGAGGAGACCAACAACAGTGATTCAGGGGGCCTGTGTGCAGGTCCCCAAGGGGGAGCTTTGTCTGTGGGGAAGCATAGGGCTTCCCACCAGCCAGCATGCCCAAGACTGGGAAGACAGAGCATGGAGAGAGGGGACGGGAGGGCAGGCGGATGCCACGGCAGATGGGTGATCTGCCAGCGGAGCGTGCTGGTGCTTGACTGCTAAATGAGGACAGCACTTTTTTTCTGAAAGCCCTTGTATTGTATGAATCTGTTTCAGCTGCAGGCAGGAAGACGGTAAATGCAAAGCAGGAGCGACAGCAGGGAGATTAGTGGGGGGTCACCGAAGGCGAAGCGAGTTGAGTGGAGAGGCAGGCGAGAGGCCACTTCGGAGGAGGGAGAGGAATACAGAACAGGAGGGGGAAGGTGGCTTTTTCTCCCTAGCCCATGATGGGCTTGCAACACCCATATGCAAGGGAGACAGCCGCTCGGCGCTTCCCAAAGCTGCACATTCAAAGCCTTAGACCAGACCAGGTGGGCCCCTTGAGGAAGGTGATGGAGGTGATGGTTCACCCCAAACTGTGTCATTCTGGCTGCTTTGCAGGTGATCCAGAGCCACAGATCAGAGGGTAGCCAATGTGGTGCCCTCCAGACGTTCTTAGAACGCAACTCCCCCCATCATTGGACATGGTGGCAGGGGCTGATGGGAGTTGGAGTCTTCAAGGTGGCACATGGGCTACCCCTGCCCTAGACAACAAGCTTCAAATGGTGCAGGGAAGGGCACCGATTCACATCCCAAACAACAGTGTGCACCATGCAGATCATCATGTGACTTGGTAAATGAGAAGAGCAAAGAGCTGGGCTTTAAAGAGTCCTGCTGGTTCAGACCAACGGCCCACTTGCAACCTGCTTCCCGGCTTCACCAACCAGATTCCACTGGGAAGCAGAGCAAGATTATCATTCTCTATATTGTTTCAACGCTAATGTTTCTTATTTGCGGGTACACTGCTTCTGACCCTGGAGCTTCTGTACCGTCATTCCAGCTATCAGCCTCTGACAAATCACTCCTCCTGTATTCATTTGGGTCATCCTCTGTAAAGCCATCTCAGCTCGCAGCCAGCACTGCATCAAGAGGCAGTGAGTTCTGTAAACTACCTGCGCCTTTGGTGAAGAATCGCTTTGTTTTGTCAGTCCCAACCTGCTGCCCATCAGATTCATGGGATGACCCTGAGTTCTAGTGTTGAGTCTTCTTTTATTGCTATTGATTCTTTCTTACTGACGATAATTTTAGAAACCTCCATCCTGTCTTCCCTACCTCATCTTTTTTGGCTAAACGTAAAAGTCTCAAATAACTTTCCTTGTCCTTTACTGCACTTTCTCTACCTTTATGATATTTCATACAGAAACTGGCTGGGGACCAGTTTACTTGCAGTATTGCTTTACCCCACAGATACCCACTCAACCGCTTCAATCTGCAGATTTGGCACTGTTGCAAGTGCCACATAATATCTGTTCCCAAGTTGTAATAAATCGATCGTTTAGCGTGGCAGCTCCCTGCTTGTTAGGACACCCCATATTCATCTCACGGAGCTACAGTTCCCAGAACTCCCTGGAAAGAGGGATTGATTGTTACACCAGTCTGAGAATTTTAGCTCTCGGGGGAGAATAGGGGTCACCTGGTAACTCTCAGCACCTTCAGAAAACTACAGTTCCAAGAATTCGTCAGGAGAAAGCCATTAAAGTCGTATCACAGGCACTGTGTGGTGTGAACATAGCCTGAGCTTCCTGCACCACCCTCAGTTTCTGAAATTGGACTCACTTCTGTGCCTTGTGTCTGCCCTGCTTGGGCTGATGACCCTGGACATTAATGCCGGTTGCTGTTTGATGTTGTGGTCAGTGTGCCAGCTGGCTCCTTTCCTAGCAGACTCCTAAATCAGCAGGTCCTCTGAGTTGGCAGAACAGTCCCAGAGGCATGTGGCCTCCCTAGTCCCTGCCAGGCAGGGCGGTTCCAGAGTCAGGCCAGGGACTCTGAGAAAAGCAGATAAAGCACAATGGCAGCATTAGTATGGAGGCAACAGGTGCCTGCACATTATGCGGTGATACAGGCAGTGCCGCCACCTCCCCATATCTCCTGGGACATAATGATGGCTGTTGCCAAATGGAATAAAAGTCCATGGCAGCACTAGCAACTCAAGATGCTGATCTTTGAAAAGATCAGATCCTTGGTCTGCTTAAGCCAGTTTTGTCAACTATAACTCCCAAAGTCTCAGGAAGAGGCATTTCTTTTGGGGGGTGCACAAAATGCACATTCAACATGCCATCTGCAAGAGGGAGGAATCAGCAGACATGGGGGGGGAGAGCTCAAATTTTGTAGAAGTGGGGAGGGGAAGCATAAGAGGAGGATAACCCCCAAAGGGCCCAGTGAGGACTGAGCATGCTCAGTTGGTGAGGAGTGTTGACTGATTGCTAGGGCTTAGGGAATTGGAAATCAATGAAGCAGGGAATGGAGTAACCTGGAAGAGGGTATGGCTGGCTGGCTGGCTGGCAGGAACTAAACAGGAGCACGCTATGCTGCAATATTTTGTTGCAGGCCCTTGTTGTATCAGTTTAAATCCAAGCACTGAAAACAAGCCCAAAGGCTACACTCCTTGACTGACTGAGGTACAACAAGCCTCAGAATGGAACTGGGTCAACTGCATCACCGCAATCAGCACAAAGAGGTCAACTGTAAATTGGTTTTCTCTGATTGTGTTCCATTGCAATTGGGGTCAGTCTTTCCACCTGGTCTCTGGTACGGCCTGTGTAAAATCAGTTGGAGTATTGTGGGCATCATATTCTGAACAAGGCCATCCCAAACAAGTTTTCATAAATTATCTCCCCCTGCCCACCTTGCCTTATCATATATTAAGCGGTATGGCCATAGCTCATTAAATGATTGCAACTGGACTGTTTGTGGTGCTGTAGTTTATTTCTTAAAACTATATCACGCCTTTCCTTCCTTGGGAGACCAGAGTGGCAAACGCATCAAAATAAATTTCTAAAAACAGTTTAAAACATTCTGAAAACAACTTCTTTGCAACTGATTCATGGAAGACCCATCCCATTTTGCCACCTGAAGTAAAATGGGATTGATGCCTCTGCCTTCAGCCGCCATGGCCCACCATGACTTCTGCCACTGGGCAGGCATTCTGCAAAATATTGCCATTCCACTTCTCTACCCAGGGGCAGGGAAGCCGAGCAGCAACCTTTTGCTTGGCAATATATGAACTCAGCATGAGAGGAAGCAATCAGTGGGCTCTTCTCTTTGTACTACCCCACATCCTCTAGAGAGAGGGAGAGAGTTGTAGGGATGGCTGATCATACATGAAGTTCCCTGAGGACTGGAAACAGTGTGGTAGTAATGCTAAGGAAGGGACGCCCTTCACTTTCCCAAAAATGACTACTGCAGTGCCGCCTCATTTAAATTTGATTTAGTCCAAGAATGTGTGAATGCACACCTGTCCCTTTGGTTGATGGTGGTGCAGAGCTGGAAACTTGTTTAGGTTTGGAGGTTGGAGGTGGGGACAAAATAGGGAGGGGAAGTGGTAGAGAGAGGGGAACCAAGAAAGAGTATCAGGGAAGAAGAATAAATGGGATGGAGGGAGGAAAGAGATGGAGCTTCCATGGTACAAATGAGCAATGATCTAATCTTAAAACTCTGATCAGGGGGAAGAAAATTATAATGAATGGAGAGGTTCTGGAATTCTGAGCCCAGAGGATAGGTGGCATTCTTCTGTAAGACTGGGAAGGAAATTTGCTCAGGGAACCCAAACTCAGCTGCCCTTTGACATTTGTCCTTCTCCCTATATTGTGATATAGCTTTCCATTTTAAAAAAAAGTGCATACAGAAAAAGAATGTAGGTTATGGAAAAGAATGTACGAAAATGCTGTACATTGGAGAAAATTGCTTTAGAAAAATGTGTATGATACACCAGTATGGAACTGTGTATATTAGAGTGAAATGCACACAAAAATGGAGACAGATTTTCCACAGAAATATTGCTTAAAAATATATATATATATCACAAACTTGTGCAGAAGTGGCCATAACTAATTTTAAGATTAGGAGAACAGGAAACAGGGAGGGACCGAAACTGACATTTTTGTCCAATG